AGTGCTGTCACTGCTGTGGTCATGCTGTCCCCTTTGGCTCGGACTGGACACGGAAGTTAAGCTGTCCAATGAAAAGCCTGCGGATCCATCAAGACCTAATCAGGGTCTTTGGCCTGACAGGGATTATAATTTCATTCGGTGCAAGCAATTAGGATGTCTTTGAAGCCTCTCGTCCTCTGAAACTCTGAATGCAATCATAAAATGTTATAAATATATACCTCGAGCTTTGGGCTCAGCCTGCTTTCAGCTCCAATCAGTCAGCAGTTGCTAAATGGAGAGTTCAGCATGACGAAACGGATTGAGATGATGTATCGTAGAGACGAGGGGGGGGAATGAAAATACAATATCTTCTGACAGTTAACCCTCTGAGCAGGTTCTGGGCGGTTTCTTTGCTCCTGTCACATTTCACTCTCTGTGGAGAGGGAGAGAGAGAGAGACTCACTCACTCACTCACTCACTCACTCACCGGCCACTTTATTAGGTACACCTGTCCAATTGCTTGTTAACACAAATAGCTAATCAGCCAATCACATGGCAGCAACTCAATGCATTTAGGCATTTTAACAAATTTCCCCCTGGGGTTGAATAAAGTATCTATCTATCTATCTAGACATGGTGTAGACGACTGGCTGAAGTTCAAAGCGACCATCAGAATGGGGAAGAAAGGGGATTTAAGTGACTTTGAACGTGGCATGGTTGTTGGTGCAAGATGGGCTGGTCTGAGTATTTAAAAACTGCTGATCTACTGGGATTTTCACGCACAACCTTCTCTAGGGTTTACAGAGAATGGTCTGAAAATATCCAGTGAGCGGCAGTCGTGTGGACGAAAATGCCTTGTTTGATGTCAGAGGTCAGAGGAGAGTGGGCAGAGTGTTTGGAGATGATAGAAAGGCAACAGTAACTCAAATAACCACTCGATGCAACCAAGGTATGCAGAATACCTTCTCTGAACGCACAACACGTGGAACCTTGAAGCAGACGGGCTACAGTAGCAGAAGACCACACCGGGTGCCACTCATGTCAGCTAAGAACAGGAAACTGAGGCTGCAATTCACACAGGCTCACCAAAATTGGACAATGGAAGATTGGAAAAACGTTGCCTGGTCTGATGAGTCTCGATTTCAGCTGCCACATTCAGATGGTAGCGTCAGAATGTGGCGTAAACAACATGAAAGCATGGATCCATCCTGCCTGTATCAACGGTTCAGACTGGTGGTGGTGTAATGGTGTGGGGTATATTTTCTTGGCACACTTTGGGCCCCTTAGTACCAATTGAGCATTGTTTATACGCCACGGCCTACCTGAGTATTGTTGCTGACCATGTCCATCCCTTTATGACCACAGTGGACCCATCTCATGATGGCTACTTCCAGCAGGATAATGCACTATGTCACAAAGCTCAAATCATCTCAAACTGCTTTCTTGAACATGAGAATGAGTTCACTGTACTCCAATGGCCTCCACAGTCACCACATCTCAATCCAATAGAGCACCTTTGGGATGTGGTGGAACGGGAGATTCGCATCATGGATGTGCAGCCGACACATATGTAGCAACTGCGTGATGCCATCATGTCAATATGGAGCAAAATGTGTGCAGAATATTTCCAACACCTTGTTGAATCTATGCTACGAAGAATTAAGGCCGTTCTGAAGGCAAAAGGGGTCTAACCTGGACAGCAAGTTAGGTACAGCAAGTTGTACCTAATAAAGTGGCCGGCGAGTATATGTGTATATATAATTTACTGCACCTCTATGGAAACGGCACAATCATGGCTAGAAGTAAAGAAAACTCTAAAATGTATTTTGTTTGCAGTATAACAGTTACAATGCCATCAATCGTAAAAAAGAACGAATGCAAGTTGCATTTTTTGGAAAATTGATTTAACACAAATTGGAAAACACAATCTGGATATGCAAAATTTGTGATACCAATGTTTGGAAAAAATACATTGAGGCTATATGTGCTATATACATTGAGCTATGTACATCTAAACAGCCTCTCCCGTCCTCTTCCTGCTCTGTGTTCAGCAGCCTGCAGTCAGTAGCAGTTTCACTGAATATTAATTGTTGGTAACTCATAACTTCCTAGGAGGACAGCGTTAAAATCTTTTTACAGGATCTGGTTAGAGCAAACGGTTTACTTGGGGCGGGATATTACATGAGACATGTAATATAAAATGTAAAGCAGAAAACGGAAAAGCATGTTTTAAGAAAACATGCTTTTCAAACCCGCCGGTGGGTTTTGGGGTTCCACCAACTGACTCCTGTTAACGTGAAGAAGCACAGTTCTACACCACACACCTTTTATAATCTCTGAGCCCAGAGGAAAGACCTCCATTTATTTATATGCTTAGGACCATGATCAGACAGAACATAGACAAACGGAACATACAATCATAACAGAACGATGGCACGTGGCTAAAGTACAACAAATTTCGGCCAGTTGCTAACGGTTACGTCGCAGTCCTTTTTTTTTTTTTTTTTTTTTTTTTTTTTTTT